ATTCTACAGCACAATCTTGTTTCTTCAACAAATTGCAAGGAAAAGGGACCTATTTATTAAGAGAGACTTACCAAAACAACAACTTATTGCATTTTTGGATCCTAATCCACAGGGACAAACTGTAGAAATATTATGTATTTGTATAATACATGATATAGGATAAAATTGGAAATTTAAGCGTACTGGATATTTGATGATATTAATTAATTTTTCACTTAGCTTTGATAAATGATATTGTGATTTTCTTAAATCCTTGTCTTGTAGAGAACATACTGAAATATTTACTAATGAAATAATGAGTCTCTTCTTGACCTCAAATTCAATAAGAAGGGAAGGAAGTCAATGGGGGTACAGATGAAATTATATTGGCTATGAGTTTTCTGATAGTGGGTGACATCTATTTTTATAGATGATTGCAATTCTCCATGGTCATTTTTTTTTAAAGCAACTCCTGACCTCACTTCTCCAACAGCAACTGCCTCATTTCTTTCCTTTCCTTTTTCTTTATTAAGTTTGTCTCTCCACATTCTCTTTTCAACCAACTCCAATCTGGCTTTTGTTCTCCCACACCTATCACTACCCCTCTACTGCCTGCCAAAGTTACCATGATCTGCATGCTCCTAAATCCATAGGTCAATGCTAAGTCCTCCATACAGTTGATCATTTCCCTCTCCTGGGTATTCTTTCTTCACTTGGCTTCCAGGACACTACCCTCCCACCTGCAGTCCTTCAGGACATCCTATTGGCGCCGCCATCAAATAGAGCCTGGCCATTTTTCACACCACACGGTTACTAGTACCTGGGTCTGTGCCACCATCATGATCATGGCCAGCCTGGATCACAGCAACCACCTCCAAAGGGATTCTTGGCCTCTAAACAGTCCATTTTCAACCCAGCACGCCAGAGCGCTCCCTTTAACACATGCGATCATGTTACGCCTTGGCTCGAAAACCTCCCATAGGTTCTCATTGTACTCGGTAAAAAAACCAAATTCTGACAATGATCTACAATGCCCTACCTACGTGATCCATCTTATTATCTCTCTGACCTTCTCTCCTAAAACTCTTGGGACAAAAGACATGGAAAGGGCTGCTTGAAAAGAGGGGGGAACGAATACAAAGAGAAGACGAGCAAGTAGGGGCCAGGGCCACGACCCTCTCATCTGTGCTTCCCAAAGGTACCCCCTGGTCCAAGGACTCGGCCTCCTGCCCATTCAGCTTCACTACGCCAGCTGCAGCCACTGACTCCTCCTGCCAGTGTAATGAATCCCATCAACCCACCGAGTCTGAGCTCACCTGGGGCGCCCTAGAGAAACTCGACATGCTACCCGACTCGCAGGGCCGTCCTCCGGTCTCCGGAGGCCGGGGCGGTCCGCGGCATCACGGGCCCGGCGGGAACCGCACCCAGCCAAGCAGGACAGTTCCGGGGCCGGCCAGCATTCGGCCGCTCCTCCGCTTTTCCCAGGTCCCCTCCGACCTTCCCACGCCCGCTATTTCGTTACCAAGGAGGAAATCATGCGGCTCTCTCGGGAATAACTCCCGAAATTCACTCCTTGCTGGAAACGCTGCGGAAAACCAACGGCTAGCGCACCATTTCCAGCCGACCTCAATAGAAGGGAACCGGAAGTGCGTCAGCGCCGCGCGGCTGTTTTGATGTGGGATCGGGGCGCTGAGACCCGGGCTCAGCTGGGGAGCGATGGATCGGTACCTGCTCCTGGTCATCTGGGGGCAAGGAAAAGTGCCCTCGGCTGTGGGTGGGCAGCCGGAGCGCCCGCCAGGGTCGTCGTCCTCGGAGGGAGCCGAGAAGCAGCCCGGTAAGTGCTGGGCTGATAAAGCGCGGGAACGGGCTGTCGGGGGAGGAGAAGGGATGGGAGTTTGCTACCAAGTTCTGCTGGGGAGGAAACTATCCAGTTGTTCCAGGCAATTGGGACTTGATCGCGGATCGAACTGATGAGGGCTGACATGATTCATTATCTTCCTGGAAAAACAGGGCCACCTTGGTGGATGCAAGATTTTGGCGCCCAGAAGTTCTTGGCCACAGTACAAATTTCACTGAATACATCCTCTGTGCTTTAGTAATGAAATTTCTGCTTTTTGGAAATACTGCATTCCATAGGTATATCTGTCTCTTGTGTTGCAAAGTTAGGCAGTACAGAAAAGAACACGATGGAAAAGACTCTTAGTCTCTTAGAGTTTACATCCTAATGAGAGGAGACATCCAACACATAAATAAAAACACACACAAAATAAACAAATCATAACTTTAAAACATTTTGAGCTGTTGGAGAAGGCACTGCTTTTTGGTGCTCCTGTCTAGACCCGGTATTGCACTTTTTATTTGTTTGTTTTGACCAAACAGGCATTTTGAGGAGGAAGTGTATGTGGTTGTGTATAGGGTGCTGTGACAGGGTTTCCTTTTCAGCATAATTTTTCTTTGGGGGGAGTTTTGGATATGTCTACGGGCTAGCATGCACACACCGGGAGCGTTTCCTATTTTCTCCGCTTGCTTTAGATATAACAAGACTTGAGCAGAGCCTATTTCTTTTGCATTCAGCATGTTGTTCTTGAGAGTCTCTTATGGTGAAATTAGAATAGGCCTAGATTATGTAACTCTTGAGCCCATTGAGTTAGTCTTGTCATTTCCTTTTCAGACTGGACAGCAGCAAATGTTTATCACCTTCTGAAAAGAAGAATTTATGCTTCAATTAATCCGGAAGATAGTACTTTCCCTGGTAAGTACAGCATGAATCCTTCTTTTCTCCAGCACACCACTTATTGGTACTGGAAATAAACTTTTCTTTTTTGTTTGTTTTTATTTTTTAATCACAGTAGCTATTTTTAGAATCCATTTACTAGCACATTTGACTTGACTTGAATATCACGGCAGCTTTATCACTTTTTTTTTTTTTTTGCTGTGCTTTGCCTTTTTTTGTCTTTTTTCTTTTGTCAATTCCCTCTTCCTAGTATCTATTTTGTAAAATATCTAGTGGATTTATCACAGGAAGACAGAAGGCGACACAATTACATTTTTTGCCATCTCTGCAAACTGAATATAGTTGGTAATAGGCACTTAGCATCTTTCCTAGCTTCCATGAATTAAGGCTCGATTGCTACATTTCTGCTTCTCTCTCCATTGAATCTAATTTGTGTGCATAGCTCTACATTCATGCTTTTCTAACACTCACCCTGGGGAGAGCCTTAATTTCATATCCACTGTTAATATTCCAGCTCCAAGGAGAGCATCCTCCTTGTCTTAGGTTATAGTTACTCTTTAACTATTCCCTTTCTAGCCAGACCTTCTTGGTCTTTGAAGAGAGCATTGTTTTCACTAAAATGACTTTCAGAGTTTTGTGTGAATTAATAGGAATACAGTGGGATTTTTTTTTTTGCAACATCTTTATGGTAGATTTTATTGTTTCAAATGATGATTAATAATACAGATTTTAGTCCTGGCCAGTTTGGCTTAGTGGATAGAAGGTCGGCCTGTGGACAGGGTCCTGGGTTTGATTCCAGTCAAGGGCGGATGCCCCAGTTGTGGGCTCAACCCCCAGTTGGGGGTGTGCAGGAGGCAGCCAGCCGGTGATTCTCTCTCACCATTGATGTTTCTATCTCTCTCTCCCTCTCCCTTGCTCTCTTAAATCAATTAAAAAAAAAATATATATATATATATATGTGTGTGTGTGTGTATATATAAATATATAAAGTATTCATGGTGAGTGAATATATGCATGTGTGTATAATGCACATTATATATACATATATTACATATATAACTTGGACTACGTATATGTATCAAAATTATATAATTCTCTAAGTATATATACTATAACATCTGCTTAATTGTGATATGTCTTACTTCTAATAAGTGTGATTTTTTTTCAAGCCTGTTCGGTGGGCGGTGTACTTGGCCCCAAGAAGTGGTTCTTTGCAGTGCAAGCCATATGTGGATTTTATCAGGTAATATAAATTTAGAAATATAGTCATTAGTGAATGTCTTTATTAATATAAATAATTTCACGGACCCATCATTTAATGCCATCTTTTGATATATTAGTTTTGTAGTTCTGACTGGGAAGAGATACATTTTGGTACAGAAAAAGATGAAATTGAAGATCTTCTGCAAACAAATATCGAAGAATGTCTGAGTGCTGTTGAGTGTTTTGAGGAAGAAGATAATAATAGCAGGGAGTCCTTATCCTTGGCTGAGTATGCTTATATGCTTTTTATAATATCTTTAGTTCACATTAGATAGTATTTTAGCTATAGAATGAAGATTAGATATTTTAGCAGCTATAGTAGAGGATTTTAGTTACTTGCCACTTTCAACTTTTCATTTTGGAAGACATCAGACAATTTGGGTCATTTGAGTAAAATTCTTTAAGGGTTCGGGGGCGGGAGGTAGGGGGGTAAGAGATCAACCAAAGGACTTGTATGCATGCATATAAGCCTAACCAATGGACATAAGACACTGGGGAATAGGGGAGGCTAGGGGACTGTCTAGGGCGGGGGAAAAAATGGACACATATGTAATACCCTTTGTAATAAAAAATAAAAGTTGAAAAAAAAAAAAAGTTAAACAACCCTGGCTGTTTTTTCTCGGTGGTTAGAATGTTGGCCCTCAGAAGGAAGGGTCCATGTTTGATTCCGGGTCAAGGGCAAATACTCAGTTGCAGGCTCCATCCTAGGCCCTGTGTGAGAGACAACCAACTGATCTGTTTCTCTTACATCGAAGTTCCTCTCTCTCTCTCTCTTCATAAATAATTGAGACTATAATAAACTTCTGAACAATAATAGATACAGAGGCAGAGCTGCCTCAAACAGAGTGTCAAACTGCATCGGGAAGGTCTTTAAGGGTTCGGGGGCGGGAGGTAGGGGGGTAAGAGATCAACCAAAGGACTTGTATGCATGCATATAAGCCTAACCAATGGACATAAGACACTGGGGAATAGGGGAGGCTAGGGGACTGTCTAGGGCGGGGGAAAAAATGGACACATATGTAATACCCTTTGTAATAAAAAATAAAATTTGAAAAAAAAAAGAAAAAAAAAATAAAATGCAAAAATTGGAGTCAGATAATACTTAGCTTTAGCTTACATAATTGTAGGAACCATAAAAAGTGATATTTTATTTAATATGCCTGATAATTATATTTTGTAATGAATAGAAACTTTAAGATTAATAACTGGGCATTCAAAGCAAACTATCATTGTTATTTCAGGCTGAAATATTATTTCTTCAATTTCTATATATCTACAGTATTTTAAGTACCTTTAAAAATTCATAAAGAGTTTTTCAGGATTAAATAGGTAATTGAGTTCACTTTTAGTGTTTTTTTAATTGTACAATTTATAAGCTAATTCAGGTGATACAAGTGGTGATAATTTTTTTTCATGAAATATTCTGTCTTGACTCATAATCAGTGCCTTTTATTTTAATCTCCCATATTGCATTATGAAAAACTACTTTTATTTACTTTAGTAGTCAATTTATATTTCAATAAATTGTTACAGACATTTAAAAAGTTTCAGTTTTCTATTTTTAGGTCACATTTGTTTGTACTGATTGCGAAGGGAGACATTGTAGAATTGTGGAAAGAACCTTGAACTGGGGATTATATAACTAGTGTCTAGTAGTTACATGATTTTGGGCCACTTAACTTCTGTGTCCTTTGTTTTCTTATTTGTAAAGCGTTGAGATCCTTTCAAAGGATTCTAAGGTATTATCTGGCCTCAGATCACTTATAATTCCTTGTTTTCCACCACTACTACAAGATGATAGAAAAGTCTAAAAGCAAGTATTTCTAGTAAATGACCTACTAATTATTTCCACAAGAGGGAGCTTGAGTACTATACTTTATCATAGATGCCTTACGTTTTTAGACAGTGGTGGGTTTACAATAAAGGATTTAAATACCTTTATGATTTATAATAAACTATTTTGTGAAAAAAATAATCATATGGATCAAACTAAAAGATTCTGAAGAATTTGAGCAGAGCTTTATATTTCCCAGTCAGGGCTGTTATATGGAATTCAGAGCAAAGCAGTATCCGTTATTAAACACTTAGCAAATACCTTACTGTTAGGATTCAAAATAATGCTTGGTCTACTAGTTATGATTTTTATTTAATAAATACGTTTAATTTAGGAAGCTTATCTTTGTTATTGTTTGTTTTTGGGTGTGACTGAGAAATTGAACTCAGGATTTGCATCCTGTCTTCCACACCTACTAATTATGTAACTTTAGGGAAATTCTTTTAATTAAGGACCACAATAGTATTATAGTAGTACATCATGGAATTATCATGAGGCTCAAATGAGATAGTGCATCTAACATTCCTTACAGTATCTAGCATGTAGAGGCATTAGTATTTATGATGAGATATAATGTGTGTTTTTGTTTTTT